CAATTTACAAAGCCAACTACACCCAGCAAAGATTATTTACAAACACTACATCTACAAAGCTAACGGTTTATTTTTCTCGTAGTTAAACCACAGATAAGAAACAAAAACCAGCGAAATGAGAGACAAAAACCACAAAGACTAATTAACACGATAAATTAGAAGCTACGACCAGGGGAAAAATATTCGGTGTGGGGAAAAAACTGCGAAAAGCCACACTGTCAGTTTTGTTCGCGGTATTAAAAACCGCAATCAGTGAAGTCAGGCGGTTTATTCATAGAGATTTCTTGACGTCGTTTTAATTGCGATTCTTACTATTTCCTGAATGGAAGAATTGGAGGGATAAATACGGAAGGTGGGCCTGGAGGGTGAGTTTGGGCGGGTTTGGGTGGGTTTGGGTGGGTTTTGGCCGGTTTGGGTGGGGTTGAGTGAGTGTGAGTGAGTATGATTGGGTTTGGGCGGATTTGGGTCGGTTTGAGTGGGTTCGGATGGGTTTTGGGTGGGTGTGGATTGCTTTGTGTGGGTGAATGTGGGTGGGTGTGGATGGGTTTGAGTGGGTATGGGTGGGTTTGATGGGTTAGGTGGGTTTGAGTGGGTGTGGGTGGGTTTGAGTATGTGTAGGTGGGTTTGAGTGGGTGTGGGTGGGTTTGAGTAGGTTTCAGTGAGTGTGGGTGGGCTTGAGTATGTGTAGGTGGATTCTAGTGGGTGTGGGTGGGAGTGGGTGGGAGTGGGTGGGCTTGAGGAAGGCTCAAGATGGTTAATTAGATTTTGGGGACATAGAAGGGAAAGAAATTCCGAGGTCTTACCGGGTTATTTCTTTATAGTGAATATTATGTCCATGTGTTTGGAATCATTGATGAGAGTACTAGTGGAAGGTTAATGTGTACTCAGCCGCTGTTTGTATGTGTACTCAAGTGCTGTGTATGTGTGTGTGTGTGTATACTCAGGTAGTGTGTGTGTGTACTCAGCTGCTGTGTTATCGTGTGTAGGTCAAGATGGATAACGTGTCTGTGTCTGTACACACACACACACACACACACACACACACACACACACACACGACACTGGAGGACAGGAGGGTCAGGGGAGACATGATAACGACATATAAAATACTGCGCGGAATAGACAAGGTGGACAAAGACGGGATGTTCCAGAGATAGGACACAGACACAAGAGGTCACAATTGGAAGTTGAAGACTCAGATGAATCAAAGGGATGTTAGGAAGTATTTCTTCAGTCATAGAGTAGTCAAGCCGTGGAATAGCCTAGAAAGTGGCGTAGTGGAGGCGGGAACCATACATAGTTTTAAGGCGAGGTATGATAGAGCTCATGGGGCAGGGAGAGAGAGGACCTAGTAGCAACCAGTGAAGAGGCGGAGCCAGGAGCTATGACTCGACCCCTGCAACCACAAATAGGTGAATACACACGCACACACACACACACACACACACACACACACACACACACACAAAACACACACACACACACCACCACACACACACACACACACACACACACACACACACACACACATACACACACACACACACACACACGCACACACACACACACACACACACACACACACACACACACACACACACACACACACAAACACACACATATCTCCCTCATTATTCATTTCTCGCACCACAACCTTCCCAAGTGTCTCGTTCACAATGAATAATTTACCCAGGAATCACTAGCCCATGAATTATTTACTCACGCATACATTTTACATTGTTTCGTGGGAATTATTGACTTTTTGCAAGCAGTTGGCCTGACTAGAGGGAGTGGAGGATAGGGAGAGAGCCTTCTGCTACACTGTAGCATATTCTCTATATATACGCACAGCTCTCGTATATTCACATATGCTACAATATTCGTAAATGTATTCAACTATTCCATCTTAAACTCAGATATATGTACTCTTATACACTGCAATGTACTTTCCTGTACTCCCATGTTCTATAAATTTTCATATGTTCTCATGTACTTCCATGTACTCCCACGTACTCCCACGTCTCCCATGTACTCGCTCGTACTCCCACGTCTCCCATGTACTCCCACGTACTCCCACGTCTCACATGCACTCCCACGTCTTCCAAGTACTCCCACGTCTCCCATGTACTCCCACCTACTCCCACGTCTCCCATGTACTCCCACGTACTTTCGAAGTCCACAAATGAAGGCTCGAAACCACATTAATTAAAAACTTAACAAGACTGGCACCCCACATAGCCCAAAAAAAAAAATCTATCCAAACTTTGCTTGACAATAAGATTCACTAACCATTTTGGTTCGAAGCCGATCCGAAGAGTCATTCTCTTCTCTTTCTCCCGACAGGCACAACGACATGGCGTGGAACGTGAGGATGTTTTTACATAACAAACTATACTCGTTCAACCTCTCCAGTGACCTGACCTCCGAGAAGCCGTGGATGAACTCACCTTACTCTCACACTGACCTTCCCAGACTTAGGAAGGGCCAGGTGGCTGCTCAG